TAGAGGATGGCCCAAGTGCTTGGGCCCTGCACCCACATGGGAGACCAGGAGGAAGCACCTGGCTCCTGGCTTTCGATCGGCGCAGCGCACCAACTGTAGTGACCATTTGGGGGGCGAACCAAGGGAAGGAAGACCTTTCTCTCTGTCTCTCTCTCTAACTCTGCCTGTCAAAAAAAAAAAAAAAAAAAAACAAAAAAAAAACAAAAAACCATGATCAGATGTTCTGAGTTGATATGGAAATGAAAGTGGTATAGCGGTATAGAAATGGTCAATTTAGACTTGGATTCATAAAAGAAATCAGAATTTATAAGAAATGTGCCTGTGGCAATAAATGAACTTATCATTTTATCAGTGTCACATTTGATAGAGAGAAAAAATGTAGATTATGAAATGAAAAATAATTAGTAGTATTAGAGTTTTCTAAGAATAGCTAATATTTCCAAATCTACTCCACAGTGATTTGTCCATCTTCCATAATTTAATACCTTGACAAGTTACTTAAGGGAATTCAGTTCACCAGACCAATAAGGATTCCATCTTATCAGTAATTTCTAGGATTTTGGTTCAACTTCTTAGATATACTCCATATTGTCTGGTGTTTTAAAGACCACTATTACCTTTACATTTTTAAAATTTGATAACATGAATTATTACTTTTTTAGATAACTTACTAAGATATTTGGAACATAAGCAGGTTTTCCAACTCCATATTCATAGGTGATATGCGTATTTGCTAGCTATTAACAGAGATTACTGTTGAGTGGGAGCCTATCCAAAGAATTGTTGACAGTTGAGTTGCTGAAGATTTTGTGGACAAAGTCAAATTCAACAGCACTGTGTTTATTTGCTTTTTGCCAATTGTTAGGCCATATCCCATCACAGTCTAACAATCCAAAAGAGAATGTTGCCAAATGACTGGCCAGTTTTCAGAATGGCTAACCCTTTTCTTGCAATGGAACTAGCAATGCTCAATTATATCCATGTGAGGCATACTTTCTCTTGAAGCAATGGTTTATGACAAGGACTTCTTCTTAGAAGAAGTGAGTAATATTGAGTATGGTTTTGAAGAGCACAGGTTTTTGGTAATTAGATACCAAAAAAGAATATCATCTCGAGGGATTAAGTTCTGAATTCCACATCTGTCAGGGCAGTTGTCAGATGCCCCGTGCAGTGTTGCCATCTCTCACTCAGCACTTCAGCTCCCAACATAGACAGTAATGTTATTTCTGTCAGGTGTGGAGTGATTGTCTCAGTCTGCTGGTTGATGCCTGGTCCAGTAATTACCTAAGTTTGCCCTCCAGCCTTGTCCCCAAGGGGAGAACTTTGACGGAAGTAGAAGTATTGACCTTTCATTTCCAGTCCCTTTATGTTATCAACGCTCTCCTGCAGAGAACATGAATATTTATCTCATTTTGGATGAGCATTTTAGAGGGACATTTTATGCTTTTATTATCCTTGTTACTAGTTCGAGTAAGGTTCCAGGTTCATTGCATAGAAACCTAATCTAAAGCTAAATGTGGACCCACAGACAAAACAAGTTTAGAGGAGAGGCTTTCTGCCTCCTGGGTGAGAGTAATGTGCAATCCTTAGACTAGTCTCTAGTCTTCTCTTCTCCAAGCCCCAAGAGTAGAAATGTAGTCCAACTTCTCTTGGTCTCTCATGAATCCTCTCACCTGTGTTGTGAGTCCTTATTTATAGGTCTACTAATTCAAGTTTTATTTCTGTTGGGTTTCTTGGTATACTTTCTGCAGTTTGTTCATGTCTAATCTAAACTTTAAATATTTCAACAGACAATACTGCAATCAGCTAAGACTGAAGTTCAGTAAGATCCTCATTCTCTGGGATGCTTTAAGTAATTTTTTAAATTCTCAATTGATGTGAGACATGAGCAGTTATAATCACCTCCCCCCTCACCACTCCCCTTTCCTTCCTCCCTGCCCTTCGTCTAATTACCCCAGCACAACCCCTTCTGGAAATAGAATGGTACATCCAGATTAATTTCTCTAGCTCCAGGCCATATTTACTAGTATCTTATAAACCACACTGCTATGCAGGAGTTGTGCTTCTCTGGTGAAGTGAGCCATTGTTGAGACACATCAACATCCTCAGGTTATTTCCCGCTTCATTCAAAGCAGGCCATGAGAATGGACTGGGTGGGGACTTTCTTATGTTAACAGAGAGAACAATTATGTTTCACATGCATGCCATCCTCTTTTATCATCTAAGACATTAAAGTATTTACCTCCAAATGTACATTAAAAGACCCCCAAAGATCAACAACCTCTTAAAAATGTAGGTTATCAAAACATTAATAATGAAATTCGGAATTTGATTCTGATCTCTACTTTCTGAATTCATCCACTAGCAGGCAATCCAATTGCCTTTTACTCCCATTTTAATGACCAAGGGAAGGAAATGTCTTTTGTTCATTTGCTCATTCAGTTAGCAACTGAAAACTGTAAATAATCTTCTGGTTTTGTAATTTCATCTTCTTTGAGTATTTTAACCAAATTCTGCTAAGTATTTTCCTTGTACCTAGCTTTCCTAACATAATGGCTTCAATTTCACATCTATCAATTTGCATGTTTATGTGCATTCTTTAAATGAGTAAGACTGCCACATAAGTAATAGGAAATGACAATTTCCTTCTAATAAATTGTTCTCCATATTTTCTTCATTGAAATATTTTCTTCTATACCTTACTATTTCCTATATTTAAAAATGCCTTAGCCTCTTTTCAGCTTTGTAAAAATCTTACTGACTCTTAAAAAGCATAACAGCATAGACAATAATTTTAGAGTTTACTTAAAGAATCCTAATGGAAGTTTCCTTTTCCAGGATAATATACCATATCAAGAAAGCATAACACACACACACACACATATATATATATATATATTATGAAAAAGCTTGTAGGTAAGAATTATTTATGTAATGCATACCATGTCTTTTTAGTACATATGACATTCTAATTTATAATGACATAACTTTGTTATTGCAGAACTAATATTAGAATACAAAATATTAATCAAATTGAGTTTATGATTACTCCAGGCTAGCATTAAATTGTGTCTCAAAATATAAAATAACTTTAACCCTTTGTTTATGTATATAAATACCTTAGTTTCATGATTTTAAGAAATTTTAACATAAAATTTATGGGTGATTTATGTATGTGAATTAATTCCAATTGTAGATATTTTTATCTCAAATACTTACACATACTATTCACTTCCACTGAGTTTTACATTTAAGTTTTTACTTTTCATTATTTGTTAAAAGCATTCAAAAGGAACTACCTTTACATAGGATTCTGTAGTGTTTGTTTGATCATTCATTACTACAATTTGACAATAGTTCCAGCAGTTGATCTTACCATCAGATAATATTTAATCTCATTTGTTGTGTGTGATAATTATAAAATAGATACTTAGGTTTCTTCATATTTATGTAGTATGTTATGTAGTTTAGAACAGAATAGACTATAAGAGTTAGAAAGTACCTTAGAAATCATCTGTATACATCCCATGTTTTAAAAATGGAAAAATTGAACATTACAAAAACTAAGAGATTATACCAAAGTCATTCACACACAGGAATTGGACCTACGTGTTATAAGTCCACCAGAGTACTATCATCTCCACTAGACTCCATTAACTATGACAAATCTCAGTGAATACATTGATGTCTACAAGTCAAATCCTTTTGCTTATATAAAACTTCCTCCAAATACTCATTTGCTTAGCTAAAAGTCAGTATAACTAGAACAATCTTCTAGAATTAACATACCTTTATTAATGCCAATAATAATAATAAAACCATAACTTAATTCATTAAATGGCCTTAACATCATGTATCAATTATAATTTTAAAGATCTCTCACTTTGACAATGGAAATTTATTGGCTGATTAGGTAAGAAGCCTAAAAGCAACTCAGTAAACAGCAAAAGTTTTAAGTAACTATTTCAAGCCTGGCACTGTTCTAGGTATGTGTGTTTACACCATCATTCCCATGTATTCCTTTATAACTGACTTTAACACACACATTATAAAATATGTACCATTAACATTGTCCTAGTGCTAGTAATGCAACAAAAATTCATGTTCATTGAGATATTTTAAATCTTTAATGTGTATGTTGAGATATATTTTGCCCCACTAAATTTAATATTATTGAAATTGGCTACTAATCCTGTTAAATGAAAAACCCATCCCTTAAAATTTCATCATGAATAGAAAAACTGATCCTTGGGGAATATATCTTTTCAACTGGAAATCATTGAATTAATATCTCTTCCAATTCATTTTTATTTCCTCACACTTATGTTTATCTTAAGGCAACATATAACTTGTGTGATATAGAAGATTTGGTTAAAGAAAATGTTAGAAGAAATCTATTTTTCTGTGTAGGTATATAATTAAGCAATTGTATAAGTTCATTATGACTTGACTGGATAAGGATACCATAGACTCCCTTCTGTTTCATAACTACACACAATTGGATAAGAATGCATTTTTAAACACAGTTTAAGTATTTTACATCATGAAATATTCTTTGAAAGGAAATCAAATCAATAAAAATAAATGAATTTTGTTTCTCACAGGAGTGATAAGTAGTTTTAGTGAGCATTTACTTAGTACTATATGACATTCCCTAATGAGTTTTGCTAGAAAATTATAAATCACATTTCATTGTGAATAATATATTTTACATTTTGCTTTATTTGTGAGCATTTTGAGATTAGGACATGCAACATTTATTTTCAAATTGTCTTTTGTTATCAATTCAAATATAATATTTATAATATTCATAATAATATTTTCCCTGTTCTAGAGGATATTTTTAAGGACATAGTTCAACTATCTCAAGTTAAAGAATTAGGTGACATTTCACTTAATTGCTTTAAAAGGAAAATGAGAAAGCATGTCCCCTGAAAATTGATCCTTTAACAGATTGTTAAAGTTCATAAGCAGTGCTTTAAACAAAAGACGTTACTTACTGTAATTGTTCTTCATCTCTTGAGTCCCTTTTACTTTGCCTCGTTTATCAATCCTCAGATACCACTGTGTTCGACAGAAAAGTCTTCTCACTCTTATATCCCCTCCTTCCATGTAATCATAACTTCTTGTATGTCGCTCAGGGCTGGAACAGTTCACATTTGCAGCCATTTGCTCTGGAGTCATGTCATTGCAAGCTAAAGATATAGTGGCCACTAGACAGATAATGTGAAAGCATGATCTGTAGAGCAAAGTTGGCAGGATCCATGTCAGTATCCATTTGTGCATTATAGTGTAGTGCTCCGGGTGTTCATGAATAACATAATGAAAATTAAATCTTGAGTTGATTGTTATTCCTAGGTCATTGACCTCTTCCTATCTTTGAATTGCAGATTGATTTAAGAAAGAGTAGTTGCTCTTTCCAAATGTTAGACTTATCCTTTTAGTTCCTGATAAAATATAGGATTCCTCCTTAAGTAACTCTGATATATCCTTATAAAAACAGGTTGTAATAAACTCAGTTGCTGCGATGCTGTTTGCTACTTGGCTTCTGTTTATAATGAGAGATTGGGAATGGGGAAGGGAGAAGAAAAGGAAGATAAAAATACTATGTATAAATTTCAGTGGCTAAATAGTATTATAACATGCAATGTAACTTATAGTACAAAGATACATTTAAAACAGCTTTCATAGAGGATGTCAGCATCTTTACCATTCTACATGTAGATTTATAAAAACTGTGCATTAATAGAGACAAATAAGAATTTGACTGTTCATATAAGAATATAAGAATTCATATGAGAATATGTCCATTCATTCCGGTTGCTATTTTGTAAGAAACATCCTGTACTTACAGCTATTTATTTAAATTAAGTTATACAGTTACTGTTAACAAAATATAAATGCTTTTCCTGGATTTCCTTATTATATGCTTTTACATTTTCAGTTATTTTCTCCTAAACAGCCCACATTTTCAAGTTAAGTGTCAGGAGTTCCCTGCAGAACTTCAGCTTTATCTTTACATAAGTTCTACAGCATAATTATATATTCACATAGCTCAGAAATCTGGTCACTTTACTTTTCCCTTCAACACTAAAACCAGAGAAAGAGACAAACTTTTAGAAAAACATTCAGCATTGTTTTTAAAGACAAATAACAGTAACTTACTTGTTCTGTTTATAACAGCTGGATACACAAGAATTCCATGTCTGTTGTCTGCCTTGTGCAACTTGAGCCTCTCTACTGTAGCTACAAACTATTTCTCAGCTGAGAAATTCTCCAGCAGAATCATAATTGTTTCCATAAATCAACAGGCAAGAGGATTTTCTTTCTGTGTGTGAGCGCGTGTATGCTTGTGTGTGTGTGTGTGGAGCCTTTTTATTCAGCGCTTTTCGATAAATACCTTTGCTGACCTCATTGGAAGCAATTAAAACTTAACCAGTGAGCTGTTAGTTGAATACAACAGCAAGAATAAAAAGAGGCTTGTATAGTATTCAGTGGTCATGAGAGGGAGCTATGAACATGGTTTATGTGTAAATCCACAAACGGGTACCTACTTTGAAAATAGATCTGATTCTGAGGTAGTTAGAAGAGGAAAGGGTAATTTTTACACCTTCTTTCCAGATCAGAGTTGTATAGATTGAAAAATATTCCCTGAAACATATATCCATATTATACACAGTGTTTTTAATAGTTAGAAAATCTATTCCATAACTTTCTGATATATGTATGTCTTTAATTGCTCCTTTGTACTCAAAATGCAAAAAAAAAAAAAAAACCTACTAATACATATTAACTCACATCTTAGTGTCTTAAAGCACTGCATAGCTGAGCTGATGGTGTATCTCTCCATACGGAGATAATTTACTGTTGCATATTAGTATACTTTTTATATCTTCTATTGTTAGGTTAAGAGTGAGAAGACCTAGTCTTATGTGAGTTGAGCCACTATTGATCAGTATGACCTTAGGCAAGTAATTTGATGTTTCTGAGTTGCAACTGCTACATTTGTAAAATTTGTACATTAATCTAAAAGAATCTGTTGTGCCCTGTAGTTTTAAAATTCTGTGACCTGTGACTTAGAATATTAATAAAGAAGATACATATTTTTAAAAATTAGTATTATTGAAAGTTAAAATATTTTACTTTAGTTACCAATATTTGACTTTTGACTCAACAAATTCATTGACACAGTAGACAAATGTCAATTTGGGGACAGAATTATAAGAGCTGTAGCTAATGTATATTTGAGAAACCTATTTTACTTTACAATACGGGTTATTCTGTCCTTTACATCCTGTTCTATGTATATGTATAGTAGAAATTCAAATGTTTTCTTAGATACTTCATGTTGAATAATTGTGTTGTCACTCTAAATAACTACTTAAGAATGTATATAAAAATTATTTTCCCCATGTTAGATACCTCTTTCCTCTCTCTCTCTCTCTCTCTCTCTCTCACACACACACACACACACACACACTTCTGTACTTGAAAATTAGGACTTCACCACTAGGTGGTGCATGTGGACCAAATAGGAAATAAAATTAAGTCTATTCATTTGTGATTTCTCTTTGAATTGATGCTTTTAAGACATAAAATCAAGCACACAGAATAGTTTAAATGTATCCAATTACTTTTTATGAACCGAATTATCCAAAGTGCTGAGTTTATTAAAGTTTATTAGAGAATTTTTCTATAGTTACCTCTTGAAAGCTGGTTTACTCAAAACACTGTATCATGTATTTCTCTAAAAGAAGAAAGAGGGAAAAGAAAGAGAATTTGATGCTATTGTGTTCTGAATGATACTTGGTAGTTTTGGAGGCTTCAGTAATGAGCAAGGTCAGAATCCCCAGGACTTGGATATTCCTTCTGAAGTAATGAAAATGATTAAGTAAGTATACCAAGTGAAGCTATGCAGAGCTACTGAATCCATCTGTTTCATGTGGACATTACAGACTTTAGATAGAAAAATCAACAGATTAGAAGTCAGTATTTGCTAAATAAATGCTTATGACTTCCATGAAAGTAACAGATAATTTGTTAGTAATAAGTGTTTGGCGCCTCCTTAATCTAATATACAGGATTAACCATAAAATTGGAAATAAAGAATAAAATTGTTATCTACGCATGTTAAGTACATTGGATGTTATTATACTCTATGATTTGGAAATGTTCACATGATCCCCATAATTTATTTTTTAAATATTTATTTATTTAAGGGACAGAGTTGTGGCATAGTGGGTAAAGCTACCACCTGCAGTGATGGCATTCCCACATGGGCCAGTTTGAGTCCCAGCTGCCCCACTTCCAATCCTACTCTCTGCTATGGCCTGGGAAAGTAGTAGAAGATGGCCCAATTCCTGAGCTCCTTCACCTTCATAGGAGATCCAGAATAAGCTCCTGGCTCCTGGCTTCAGACCAGCCCAGCACTAACCTTTGCGGCCAATTGGGGAGTGAACCAGCAGATGGAAGACCTCTCCCTCCCTCTGCCTCTCCTTCTCTCTGTGCTTAACTCTGACTTTCAAATAAATAAATTTAAAAAAAAGATTTATTTATTTATTTTGAAATCTGAGTTACACTTGGACAGAGAGATCTTCCATCTGTTGGTTCACTCCCTAGATGCTTGGAACAACCAGCACTGGACCAGGCTAAGGCCAAGAGCCGGGAGCTTCATCAAGATCTGCCATGCTGGTGGTAGAGTCCAAACAGTTGGGCCATCTGCTGCTGCTTTTCCCAGGCCGTTAGCACGGAGCTAGATTAGAAGTGAAGCACCGGGACATGAACCTGTGACCATATGGGATGCCAGCATTGTAAGAAGGAGGCTTTACCTGCTACACTGCAATGCCAGTCCCAATCCCTATGCTTTTAATGAGAAGATTAATCTAAACCAAAGAACAACATCCATCATTTAAATTCTTTGATTATTAGTTTCCCAACTATAGAAAAAATAGTTCAAGTTGGGCCCACAGACAGTTTCTCTAGTATCACAGTTGTAAGGGAAAATCTCAGTTAGATTTCACTGACACTCTTACTATACTTCAGGAGGAATTCTATGGGAACTGAGATACCTCAGATATCTCTAAACAGGGTAATCCTCCAGGGTTTTTATGTTCTAAATTGGCAACCATTTATTGCTCTTTTTAAAATATACATTAGTGATAGACTAAGCACAAAAATATCTCAAAGATTGTTTTTCATTTGTTGTTTATGGATTGAGTTAACTTTATTGTTTTATTGTCTCTGAGTTTTAATTTTGCAAGACAAAAAAGATTCTTCTGTTACTAAAAATTGGCTCTTCAATGTCTTTCAAAAGTAGAGGCTAGCACCTGAAATTCTTCAGAAAGAAACAATAATTTACCAGTGAATACCATGAAAACAGGCAGTTACAAAAATAATAATTAACCATCCAATAATGCTTAAGCAAGTTTTAGTATATCCTGCATTCTATAAGGAGGTAAATGATAAAAAGTATGTATAATATAATCAATAGAAGGAAACATCATTTAATACTTTGATTACTTTGTGGACCTTTTTTCAAAGATTTTATTTATTTATTTGAAAGAGTTTCAGAGGCAGAGGGAGAGACAGAGAGGAAGGAAGGAAGGAAAGAAGGATGTTAGGAAGGAAGGAAGGAAGGAAGGAAGGAAGGAAGGAAGGAATAAAGAGAGAAAGAGCGAGAGAGAGCAAGAGAGAGAGAGAGCGAGAGAGAGGGAGAGAGAGTTCCCATCTGCTGGTTTACCCCCAGATTGCTGCAACGGCCAAGGCGGATCCAGGCGAAAGCCAGGAGCTTCATTTAGGTCTCCCACATGGGTGGCAGGGGCCCAAACAGTTGGGCCATCCTCTGCTGATTTCCCAGACCATTAGAATAGAGCTGGATCTGAAGTGTAGCAGCCAGGACATGAATCGGTGCCCATATGGAATACCTGCATCATAGGCAGCTTTACCAGCTATGCCACAATGCCAACCGCACTCTAAAGTCTTAAATTCTGTCCTGCTTCCTGTGTTTCTTTTCAGTTCCCATCTGTTCCCAAAAATATGGTCATTGTTAGTAGTTTCTTCTATATCTTTCCAGTTTCCTTATGTATATGCATGCAAACAGAGCACATATATATGCAGTTTTAAATATTTTTTAATTGTCATCCTTCCTATACAAAAGATGGCATACTATATGCTTTGTTCTACATGTAACTTTTTCAGTTAATACAAATAGAGAATCTTAAGTATTTTAGGAAGATTTCTTGCCTTTTTATAGCTGCATAGTATTCCACTGAATGTATATATCACAATGTATTTGAATAACCCCATTTGATTAACATTTAATATTTTATAATATTTTCTATTACAAAAATACAGTGGAGAATAAATTAAAATGTCATTTATAATATGCAAATATATCTATATGGTCCATTTCAAAAAATAGACTTGATCAAGTGATATATATATATATATGTGTGTGTGTGTGTGCTTATAATTACTATTTTCAATATACTCTCCAGAGACTGTTCTGGTTTTACAATCCCAGAAGCAGTACATAAGAGTTCCTGTTTGTTCAACAGAGTGTATTGTCAAACTTTTGGAGTTTTGCTAATCTGAGAAGTAAAAAATGGCGTTTCATTGTAGTTTTTCCTTTCATTTCTCTTCTTTAATTTTTTTAATGAAATAAATTGATCTTTAGTGTGATGAGGTTTTTTAAGATTTATTTTATTTATTTGAAAGGCAGAATTAGAGAGAGAGAGAGAGAGAGAGAGATCTTCCATCTGCTGGTTTACTCCCCAAATGACCCCAATGGCCAGGAATGGACCAGGGCAAAGCCAGGAGCCAAGAGCTTCTTCCATGTCTCCCACATGAATGCAGAGACCCAAGGACTTGGGCCATCTTCTACTGCTTTCCCAAGGACATTAGCAGGATTGGAAGCAGCCAGGACACAAACCAGCACCCGTATGGAATGCCTGTGTTGTAGGCGGCTGCCTAACCCATTACACCACAGCACTGACCCCTCATTTCTTTTCTTGTGAGACAAAGCAATCATCATGGAAAAGGGATATAAAGAAAATGCACATGGCATTCCTTATATAAAAGATTTCAGTAGGGAAGGTATTCCTGCAAAAATGTAGAGCTGTGCTTTGAAGCATGAGTGGGACTTAACCTTGCAAAGGGGTATCTAGGAATGTACAGAAACTCTGTACTGAAAGACAGAATACCTCTTTCAGCCATCAAATGCCAGTATTGCCCTTTTAGACAGAATGAGAGGGACTGTGGTACATGAAGAGACTAGAGAGGCAGGATCTCAGTGGGCACATTAAGGATTCAATTTTTATCCTAAGAGCAATAGGAAAATATTATAGTATATTAAGAAAAAAAAATGAAACTATCACAACTACACTCCCTGTCGCTCCCCCATTCACGGAGGAATGACACAGGACCCTGCGCTGTTCTTTTGTCTGCTTGGCCCTTCCCGGGTTTGCAGCTGGTCCTTCCTGGGTTGGCTGCTGACCCCTCCACCTCCGTGGAGGCGCGGCTCCCCCTGCCACTTTCCCCACTTCCGCGGGGGAGCGGCACACCGCCTGCCGGCTCTCTCGGGGGCTGCTCAGATGTTATCCGGATGTTCCTGGTGCAT